ACCGATCGACCCGTAACAAAACATTATCATACCATTCCCTCCTTATCCGGGAATTGGCGCCCAAATTTGGAAAAAACATCTGTAACCGAAATTTGGCCTGGCGACGTTTTCATTATAATGATTGCATCGTTTTCAAAAATGTAAAAGATTCGATGAAAATCGATAAGAACTTGCGTTGAATAGTGTTATTTAAGTAACGCTTGGTCGAGCAATTTTCTTACAAATAGCAGAAAATTTAGCAAAAGTTTTCATCCCAAAATAGTATCAATATATATATTTGCAGCTAATAAGCTTTATTCTCATTGTATATTTACTATATGCATTTATATTTGATATCTTGGACAGAATAAATATTTTTAAACACGGTATAATTCAAAACATGTGAGTAGATATATTATTGGATCAGATCATGTGTGTATATTGATAATTATTTATCCCTCTTAGTAGATATAATGTTATAAAGTTACATTTATCCTTATATTCAAAAACAATGCTGTTTCCAAAAAAAATACAAATATAGAACATTATTCGCATATAAATGATGTAATACGTCTTCATGTCAAAAACAATGCAGAAGCAAGAAAAAACTTACAAACCTAGAACATTATTCGCATATAAATTATGTTAATACGAAAATTTTCACCTCAGTGGAATTAGTCCACGTATCCTTGTAATAACACGTCCAATTTTCATATTCCATCCACGCAATTTTCGCATCCCACGCAAATAATTTCTTTTTAAAATTGAACTTTCTTTTTTAAAAAAATCCAATATTCCATAAACATATTTAGGGCTTTTATACATTATGAATATTATGAATATATCAATACTTCGGGATTATTACAATATCGTCGTATATGGATGGACGTGTGTTCACGAGGAAAGAGAGCCCCCCGGTAGGGGGCTAAATATTTGGAAGCTCGCGGAAAGCTCCGAGTACGTGATAGGAATAATGAAACGACGATCAATGAACGAAAACATCACGATCAGAGCGGCTTCGAACGTTTTCATTCTAAATTATGGCGCCTTATTTTTTAAACTGTTCGCTGCAATTTTCTGTTTTTTCCATAAAACGGTACTAAGAGGCAGCAGTTTGCTGCTCTTCGATAGAAGAATATCTATGAATTCAAGGAGATCGGAAGAAAAACTACATTTGGAGATAAAATGAAAACAAATGATAGACGACACGAGATGAGGTAACAAAGATAAGAATAAATCGATATTTGCAGAGTATAGGCTACTTTAATAATAAAATTTAAATGAAAATCTATAACTAATTTTGAAATTGAGTTCCAATTATTCGATTTAATTTCAATAATTATTATTATTATTATTCGTAGTCGATTATTTTTATAACTTGGTCAATTAGTGGACAAAAAAGTACCATTATTTATTATCTCAATAATAATTATTATTCAAAGTTATTATTATTATTAGTATTATTTTTTGTATTTACAGTAATATCGACTCACATAAAAGAAGTATTAAGATCAAATCCAACTTCTGCATTTAAAAAAATCATTAAAAAAATAATAAATATGATACATAACAGGGAACATAATATGTCAAAGATAAAAAAGTTGAATACAACATATATAGAATGAAGTATGTATGATGTATGCTAAATGTAAGGGCCAGGTCAATGAAATAAAATAAATATAAAACAATAACAATGTCAATTATTATTTTCTATATTCTCCTGAAACCTTTACAAATACCTTTTGGCTTTAAATATATGAAATTTTAAGTATGAACAATGTTGGATATGAAATAGTACACATCTTTTTATATATTCTTTTATTTAAAATTATTTATCAACTTCCTGCGGGCTAAGTTATAGTAATCGCAAAAAAAATCGAAAATGAAAATTTAATCTTTATGTTGCAAAAGTTACTGAACATTTTCGCATACATTAGAAAAAATGTATGTGTGTGTATATATATATATGTGCGGATACAATTTTTCGTCGACGATTTCGAGAACATATACCCGAATTGAATGATTCAAAAAACATTTTATTTGTATTGAAAAAATGAATAACAGATGAATTTTTGGGAAGGCAGGTCTAGCGGTTTTGGAGATCCAATAAAAACTAAAAATAAATGCCATTTGGCGGACAAAATTGATCATAAGACATATGCACATCAAATTATCACATATTTTATAGATATTTTAATTATAAGAATAAATTTTTGTTACATTTCTATGGGTTCCGTACCATTATATACGGTTCTATATTTCGTTTTGACGTCGCTAACGTACTGTGATTGCATTGAAAAAAAAATCCAAATTTTTCAAAAAGGTCAATTTTTTTCAAAAATTTTAAAAATCTCAAAAAATATTTCTTTCAAAAATCTAAAAAAAAAATTGAATCACTATTAAAAACTTTAATTTTTGGTCTAGAAAGTTCCAGCAATTTGCCTTAAAACACAAAGTCATGCACCACTAGTTTTCATATATTATTTATATTCCCATATACTATTTTTGATTTATATTTTAACTTCAGAATCAACCACTGCCACTAGATATTAGTTAATGGTTAATAAATAAATAAATAAATAAAAATTAAAGAATATATAAATCATTTTTACTGTACTAACTTTAAATGAATATTAAATAAATAATTATCATGAATATTATAATTCGTGCCATCGATTTGTTAAATTAGAGCATATGTAATAAATTTATAAACTTTATATTTCATTTCTGAAAGTAGAGAAAATTTTAGTTGATGCTTTTTAACAATGTTTGAAAATTGAATAGAAATGGAATAAATTAGTTTAAATATAAATTCAGTTTCTCGCTGTGAAAATGTTTTGTATGTTTCGCTCCGCAAAAGTACTAAATTTTATTAACTACAACCGGAATACGTGGATTCCGCAAAACGGAGCCATGTCTAGAGTTATATGTAAGTTTCCTTAATGTTTTTTATACAAATACCTATTATTTACAAGTATAAAATTTGAAAAAATAGAAATGTGAAAATATAATAATATGATTTTAAAAGAAATTAGCTCCATGTGCGCCCGTCCATACATTTGTTGCCATCTACTGAGCAGTAGCATGGTGAAGCAAAAATATGGTGTAAAACTAGAATAAAGTCTTCTGTGGACGACAAAAATAAGAGATGGCGCCTAAAAAACAAGTTAATAAAACAAAATTATAAAAAGTAGTTAATTTAAATAGGTTCAGTTCCAAATTAACCTATCATGGATTTCAATACGTCTGTCCATCCGTCTGTCTCGTAAAAATGCATATATGTAATAAATATCAATAAGAAGGAACTCATAGTAAGCAACAGATGTCGCAAAGCACAAAATAACTAACTTTTTACCAGTTATATAAAATAATGCTACATAAAATAATAATTATATATAATAAATAATTAACCTCGAGAGACCATTTGAATATGAAATGCTAAAGTTAATGTAATAAAGAATAAATAAATTAAATTAATAAGGAATTTTGCCAGAAGGTAGTGCGCATGTTTAAATTTCGAAAACTTTTAAAATTGCAAATACAAGATCTTACAACATAAAATACTACAAGTAACTCATGTATAACAAATACTATTATTATAACTGATTTTTTTGTTGTGATCGTAAGTATAGATTCATTAAATAAGTAAGACCTGAAATTTGCATCAGACACCAATCGATACCATAGAAAAAATTATTTACCTTAATTTATTAATTTTAAAAAAATTTAAAAAACGGTGAATGACAAAGAATTTAATCAATCAAAATTCTATTTTTGATTAACCAAGAACAATTTTTAAATTTGCACCAATTAAAAAAATCAATAAACTGATGTTCGTACAAAAATTCAACGCAATTCCTAATTGATATAATTCAGAAGAACGTGAAATTTATAGAATCAACTTCCAAATTTTAGTCTCTAACGATTATTAAACAATATTAATGACAATCAAGAAAACAAAATTAGCGAATCATAATTTCAAGCAAAAACAAAATCCCTTCAGTAAGTTAATAAATAAATTGAGTTCTGGAGGAAACTTATTTTTGATAATTTATTTTAATAAATGAATTGTAATACGAGTAGAGGTTCAATAAATTATTAAATAAGTTAATTAAGTAAATAAATACAGTTTTTTAAACGACTAGGTCGTTCTCATCACCATATAGATATAAATATTTGATTTAATAACTTCGTGTGAAATTTCACATCTTACTGATAGTTTCACTTTTACGATCACACATTAGTTGGAAGAAGTAATTCAAGGTATTTGTGAACATATGCAAGTCGAAATCGTTGATTTCATGCAATTGCATACTTTCCCATTTTTTTAAATTAATACATACATTGTATTCTTTCAATTTAAATATTGACATCATTTAATAAACAATGAATGATTCTAAATATTGGTAAAAAAAATCGTCTAAACTTAAATTGCTATCTAATTGTTTTCTCATGAAAATTGACTAATGCCACCATAATTTTTGTAATTTTGAATATAATCGTCGGCATTAAAACAAGATTTAGCTAAAACCACCAAGTCAACTAAAAATGAATGATAGTAAACAAATAAGTGAAAAACAAACAAGCAAGAGTGTTTCAAAAATATAATCAGCTATGAATTACTTCAAAAAGCTCTCAGAACACTTACTTTACATGTTCTATAAGCTGTTTGTTGAAAACTTATGATCTAACGTATTTTATGAGAGGCAACCCATCGGCTTACCATTCTCCTATGTGTGGGGTTTTTATATTAGCTCTTACGTCTAATAGTTATCATATGATTAAATGATGTAGCTATGTTCATGAAGGACGATTTCCACTTGAAATTATATTGTGATCTATAATCCCAAGTGGAAATTTGACATCAAAGTTGCCTGATATCGGGCTACGGCGGTAGCGGGAATCAAACCAGCAAACCCAGGACTAGATGGTGCTAGCCAGCATTTATATTCTATATCGCCACCGCTGGCCCAACTAATTTTGAAATAAAGATTAAATACTACTCAATACTACTAAAATACCTTGAGTTCTTCCATGGCATTTAACAATTCCTCCTCATTTCCCGGCTCCGAAGAAGGTTTTCCTAAACTTCGAAGGGCTGCCCTTAGCAGCAACAAGGCACCTCTCAATTTTCGGGCCTCCATGTAAGCTTCGGCCCGAATTCGTAATCCGTCCCAACTGGCGATCAGATCTAAAGTAGAAACAAAATCCATATACACTCTGAAATAATAGTGATGAACTAATTTTTAGAATTTACATTGACATCATTATTAGTTGCAACAAAATTGATCTAACTAATTATATTTTTATCCATGTATCTATGCATTTATTTATCTGTCTAACAATCAATCTATCTGTCTATTGAGGTCCATTAATCTATCAACATACCCAAAGCCAATAATTGAGCCTGTGTGCCAGAATTATTTGGCAGCATTTTGATGTCAAATTATGTCTGTTATTCTGGTTAAATGTAATATATATATAAAAAAGCTACAAAATTAATGAATATCTATTAAATATTTAATTTTTTCTATCCATCTTTATGCTCTGGATAATAATAATGAAAACATAGGCCCAACCCAATCTCAAAAATTCCTGAAGGAAACATCAGGTTCACATATTAGCAGTGTTCAAAACAACAATGCACTAAATTGTTTCTTAAACAATGCCTTAATTTAATATCTTTATAAATATTTACATGTATTGTTCAATAATAAAAGCAACATTTGTATACAAAGCGTTTTCTTGTTTGTGATTCTTTTTTCATTGTTTAGATAGATGAGAGTGTCTAGTTACTTTCTAATAAAATTCAATGAATTAAATTACGTCGGTCTTTATAACCGCAGAATCCCGGGTTTAAATATGTGTTTCAGACAACCTAATATCAAGCAGTAATGATGCTAAATGTTAGTTTAATAAGCATATCAGAAAAATCTATCAATTTGCTGAGATCGCACAAAGCTACACCACTAAGTTACTTTCATTAAGACTAAATTAACTCAAAACGTATTAGTCTGACGTCGTTGCTTCTTGATACAAGTCTGGATTCATCAGGATAAACATCTTTCTTACGAAATGAAGCAACTCCAAAGGGAACTCTTAACAAATCTATGTATGCGTGTGATTTATGCAAGAAATAGAAATTTCTCTTCCTAGGTCTAACACGGAACGATCTGTAACAGCGGCAGTCAATATTTTCTTTAAAGGAGCCATATACAGCAAGAAGTAAATCAGGCTACATTTACAAAATATAAATAACATAAAGAACAAAAAAACAACAAATAGATCTAATCTTCAAAAATTATTATTGGCTCCTAAACAGAAAATCAGAATTATCAACTTACAAGGAATTACTTATATATAAGGCTGTGATCAAACCCGTGTGGACCTGCGGATTACAACTTTGGGGTACTGCTGAAAAGAGCAATTTAAACATAATACAACGAACACAAAACAAATTCCTGCGGCAAATATTAAACGCTCTTCACTACACGCCAACATAGATCCTACACAAAGACGCGGGTATACCTACAATTCAAGAACATATATCAATGTTTGCCTGTAATTATAAGAATAGAATTGACGTCCATCCTAACCAACTAGGATGCAACTTATACCAGGAAGGCCAGCCGACCAGGATCAAAAGGAAAATACCTCGAGATCTAACATAGTTTTTTTTTCTCCTTATTTGTCTTTAGTTTTTTTTATATTAACTATAGTAGATACGCCAGTGGGCGTTTGATCTATTTTCTTACGGTTACAATTTGATATATTGTGTTTACATATTGAGAATAACAATTTTGGTAGTTCTTAATAAATATGCATATTATAGGGCTGCTTATATTGGTTGACAAAAATGAAAACATGATTTAACTTCCACTAAACCAATCCTTGAAACATCTTACAATTTTTTTAGAAGTAACACAAAATATTGATGTAACAATGTTTTAACAGAAAACGATAAATCAAATCTTCTCAGAACAGAAAGGTAGGAAGGTCGTATTATTTTAGATATATATATTTGGTATACCCTAACTAAATCATAATTTTTCCAAAGGACCTTGATATTATTATATGCTTTTATTACTTCCTTCCAGCTAATTCTCAATGTTGCAATAACGTTTTCAAAGATTAAATACATATGATGCTTACCAATTGATCATTATAATTAAAGAGTAATGAGTAAAAGTTTTCCACAAGAAACTTATTTTATTAAAACATAAGTAAATGCCTCAATACGATTTCCATTTAATAGTAATCAACGGTTTTAACAAGCAATACTTTTAATATTTCACCATATTCTATATTTATAAAATCAGCAAATGCAGAGCGAAGAATATCAATTGCCAAATAATAGAAACTAGAAGCACACTTTTAGTGATAATCAGAAAATAATAAGAATAATCTACATTTTATCTAAAGCAAAAGCACATTCAATAGACAGTTGTTTGTTAGAACTATTCTTTAACTATTTACATTTCTTTAGTTATGTTTTAATAAAGCCTCACAACAACAAGTTTTATTAAATAAATTGACTAATTGTAAATTTTGTCTTTAGAAAAATAGAAGTTCATTCATGGCGCTTTATTTCGAGAATTGGATATGCTAAGGATTTTGAGTAAAATCGAAAGAATTAAAAAAATATTTTCTAATAAAAAGTGTTCAATGAAACAAGTTGACCATAACTGATAAACTGCACTAATATGACGAACTACATATGTGACATCGTTGACTACGGTAGCATAAAAACAAGTTTCTAATAGCCGTCCAGATCAGCCAATTACTAATATAATAATTAATAACTAGATCCCGACAGTAATTCAATTATAATCTCATAAACCTGGCTTTCACATCCTTGGTTTTTGTACAAAAAGTCGCCAATGTGTCTTTACCGGATAGACGAGTAATAAATAATGCCTTGGGAAAAAATGATTTATGATGTATATAAAAATCTTTACATGATCAGAACAATAAAAAGTTTTATGTCTGGTTGTACTTCACTTTGTTATGAATAATCAATTAATATAAAACCGATTGGAATTCGATGGAAAATGTTCTTCAATTTAATAAAGAGTAAAAAAATATATGCCTGCGGATCTTACAGACAATCTTTGCATAATTGCAAGTTCCTCCGACGTTAATTTTTTATCAGTCTTATAATATATGATTTATATAATTATATAAGTCAATGATTTTTTATCGAGCTGAACTGATATGAAAATTGTCATATTTATACAGATCTGATACACCGAGATATAAATCAGCCCTATTGAAAGAGCTGGCAAAAGACATAATTTTTCATTTATTTTCCTTTTAAACTCCAAACCGATTTAAAAATATGAAGTTTATTTGAAAGACGACGATCAATTTATGGTAAAAATGAGTTCAGCAGTTTTCTGTACTGTTTTAAACAAATAAAGCAAACAATCTAGATTGTTCTTGATCCATTCTATCATTTTCAAATATTGGAAAGTTCACCCAATAATGCCTAATTCGCCTTGATTTCATTTTAACTACAAATCTTGGGTAGGTAACGAAAATGAATTGCAATGATTATAGCAAAATGAAAATATTATAAGTTTAAATAAATAGTACAGCATAGTATAAACTATATTGCACACAGTACAAATTACTAGGTCTAAAAATATGAACGAGATTCATAGCTTTATATTCTATTTATGCATTAGTTAAATAAAGCATTAAATATTACAAAACTGTTCCTGACATCATTGAACTAATATGAGTATTAAAATATGTAATCATCGTAGGCGTCATAATCTTATGTCATATTATTTGTGATATATTCATGTTACGTGATATATGTGTATATATATATATATATATATATATATATATATATATATGTATTAACAAAGTCTAATAATCGGGCATAACATCAATAAAAAACATGAATTTCTTTCAAAAATTTATTTTAAATCCATACGTTTCGGCTATAATCCTAGCCTTCATTCAGTGGAAACTAAAAATAAAATTAAAAACTAAAACAATTGAATTGGAGTGAAAAGAAAAAAATAAAATAGTAATTAGTACTTACAATTAGTTGATCTTAGTGTTAAATTGGAAAATTTTAATAATCCATGGTATTAGGATATGGTAATGCACTACACTATGTATTATAAACATTAACTTGAAATTACACAATATTTTCACAAAATACTGATTTGAAAAAATCACAAATGGATAGTGTGTTATTCGTAGACTGGTTGAAGATGTGATGGAGAAAGACATTTTTTTAAAAAATATTTTTACCAAGATTCTGCACATGTGTGGAACGAATTGTAAAACCTTTGCGCGAACGCTTTTATTGTTTTGTAAGAAATTTGGAAATGTTATCTAAATAGAAGAGATTTGTGTCGCACAGCGTGTTGAGTTCATTCCGTTTATTTATTGTCTTATTGTTATAAATAGTTAAAAAAGATCCCTCTATAATTCTTCGTTTAAATAAATTTTGTTCAAATTGTAGTATAGTCGGATTAGAAAAGTCCATATTGTGTTTTAAAGTGTATTTATGGTCTGCAAGAACAGTTTTAAATTGTTTGGGGTTTTTTGAATTGTTTTTATGTTGTTGTAACCGTTTATTGAGGTTCTGGCTAGTTTCTCCTATGTAAATTAAATTACAGTCTAAACAATTTATTTGATAGACGAGATTTCTGAGTCGTTCGATATTAAATGGGGTTTTTGTTTTTGTAAAAATAGTGCTAGTAGTTGTACTAAAATTGGTTACAAGTCGAAGTCCAGATTTATAAAAAAGTTTTTTCCAAGGAACATACAATTCTTTAATGTATGGCAAACATATTACACCAGAATGAGTTTCTGAGTCAGGTAAATCGTTATGTACTGTGCAATTGTCCATTTTATTCAAAAGGTACGTTCGTCTGTTACTAGTTACGGAATTTATAAGTTTTAGGGGATAAGAGTTATCTGTTAAAATTTTTGTAATTAATTTGATGTTGTTGTCCCAAAATGTTTTGTCCGATAGAAGTATTGCGTGGTCCGTTAGATTTATTATAGTACCTATTTTCATTTTGAGTGGATGATAAGAAAAGTAATTAAGGTAGCGTCCGGAATTAGTCGGTTTTTGGTACCAATTTGTTATTAGTTTGTTATCTGTAGTACGTATAAGTTTTATGTCTAAGAAACTTATCGAGTTCATTGTCTCCAATTCCACTG